AACCCAGCTATGGTATGCAGAGGTGGGGTCTTGGGAGAGGGACTGCACTATTAAAGTGATTGGGCAGGAAGCCCGTGCTGGGGCCTGTAGCTCTGTAAGAGGAGCAGAGAACGGAGGTGCAGGCGCTGCCCTGTGCTGCATAGTGACATCTGTTGCAGGCGGGGACTCAGCGGTCAGGAGCCTGCCACCAGGAACAGCCCCCAAGCATGAAAACCGTGAGCTAGAGTAAACTCGCGCTATGGCGGGTCCCATCCAAGCATCGTGGTCTTGGCTAAGCACCCCCCTGTCGCTCCTTAACCTTGTCCATCATGCTTCCCTTCGGGGGGCCTCGCCTCCCTTCAGAGGGCATAGTTCTCCACTCGCAAGTTTTCCATTTCTGTCTTTAAAATGTTGAAGTTGTCCCCAGGGGGAAAAAGGGAAGAGCTCATCTCTTGCTCCTTTCCTCTTCACCTTCCGGCGCACTCCTGCCTTGGACATCAGCGCAGAGGACGCTGCTTGAAACACTGCGCGATGCAGAGCCCCGGCCGTGGCCGGTCGCAGCCAGGCCGGGCGTGCTCACGCTGCTGCGAGGCCGTTGCCCTCTGGTGCTTACCAAGTGACTGCAGCAAGTCACAGCACTTCCTGAATAAACTGCAGCTGACTACAACTGCCATTCCTCATTTTAAACGCTTATTTAATGGAATAATTAGAAGGCTATAATTACATTTTGCCCAATTTATTCTTTAAGTATTAAAAGCATTAAAATATCAAATGGCAGAAGTAAAAATAGGGAAAACGGCTCTAAAGATACATTTTTGTGCCACCCATTTAAAGCTTTCATGTCAGCTACTGTATTGAAAGGCATGAATTCTAGGGTACCTGGAATTGTTGGCACCACATCTCTTAGAGTTCTACAAATAATACAGCTGTGTCATAGTTGGTAAACCACATCTTTAAATCCAGAGGACAAGGGCTGATCAATAACGGCAGACGGGGCTATGCATGCCCGCAGCAGCAGTCAGTGCCCACCCCCCGCCCCCCAGGCAGCTTGCTCGGCCTCCTACCTGAAGTCAGAGCCCGCTCTCCTGCCATTCTCCGGAATCCCCGGGTCTGGGCACATGTCCGAAGCCGATGAAACGCCTCCCTGACTCACTGCAACAGAGAGACACGGAGTTAGCATGCTGCGTAACTGTAGGAAATGTGCAGAGTGAGTCCACGCGCGGCGTGCCAGTCCTTTACTCGTCATGAGTGGGCAAGGGATTTCTGTACGAGTTAAGACACAAGTGCTGATTTGATGGAAAAGTAGCCCCACTCAGAGGACGGGGGCCTTCACCTGTGCCCTGTGGGCACAGCACAAGAGCAAGCACCAGGAAGATCCGTGCCGCAGAGACCAGCCAGAACTGCTCCTGGTACTCTGGACGGAAATGGCCCTGCTATCCAGCCAGAAACATCTGCACGT